AACTTCCCGTTGATGACTGCCGTCTACCTATCAGCATAATGTTCTCTCTGCTGTTCCTTAGTCTCTCTAAACCCTGAGGTGTGAGTTTAAGACTGCTTATATTCACCTTGCCAGTTCTAAAAATAGAATGTAACACATAAACAATGAAACAAAGCTGAATTTGTCAATGAACAGCTTCTCTTTGTTTACTTGTAACCTTGTAGAAAACAGCTTGTTAAAATCTAAATTTAAAAAGAAAAGTCGTCTTCATTGTATTGGTATAAAAGCCGACTACTGAATCTATTTACTTAAAGTTTTTGTATCTTCTGAATCAGCTAATTACTTAAAGCTTTTATCAGTACTTGAACAAAATCGACTGATTACTTAAAGCTGTAATCAGCTCTTGAATAAATCAGCCAATTACTCAAAACTTTTATCAGCTCTTAAATAAAATCAACTAATAACCTAAGATTTTATCAGCTATTGACTAAAATCAGCTAATCACCTAAGAGCAGCGCTGATCTCTAAAACTTGATCAGCCGATATCTTCTCATCAGCTCCAAGTGCTAAACTCAAATCCTTCTGAAAATCAAGAATACATTTTTAAGACTATAAAGTGGAAAATAGTTATGCATTAATTCTGATTTAATTATAAAATAATTATAATTCATGATATATCAATTATAATACGGTGAACTAATTATGAATTTGCATTTAATCAATTAGACGGTCTAACAACTTAATCTAAGTGAAGCTCCATATAAAAAGATGCAGTACCCTTTAATCCCAACGATTATGAAAATTGATTGCTTAGATTTGTGTTTCTTCACAAAAATGAATTGCGGATTTATACTACAGTGAAACCCTTAATAACGAATACATCGGAAGAATTTATCAAATGTCGTCTTGACAATTTTTCAATGCGTTTTATACTATATTACGTAAATTTCAGTATTTGCGAAAATAAATAAATAGCCATGAATATGCGGGAAAAGTTTTAAAACGCTCCATATAATCATTTAATTAAAAAACTAAATATCTCCAACATTCCATTATCAGAAAGTGAAGAATACGACATTTAATGAATTCTTTCGATGTATTCGTTATTAAGGGTTTCACTGTACAGAGACAATGATGGCCATTGTCGAAGAATTCAAGAAAGAACATATTTTGCTAAAATTGAATTTAAAAAAAAAACGCAGATTTTTTCCTATGTTCCAAAAATATTTTTGAATTTCACATTTAATTTTTTTAATGTCTAAAATCCGAACAAAACAAAAATTTAGAAAATGTTTTCTAAAACATCGAAAATCATATTTTTTTTTACTCGCCTTGTATTTTAATAAAAAAAAACCCGCCAATTTTTGTTAAAAATGTTTACCAGGAGTTGAGCAGGAATAATGGCGCTGAGTTTTATCGCAAAACATTTAGGTCCACCTGGGCTCTCTAGACTACTGCAGATATCTAGACTTTCTCTGAGTAAAATTATATATCAATGATTAAAATTTTAAACTTTCATTCATAAAAAATAAATAAAAATTAATAGTATTTAAAAAGAAAATACCTAATAATGTTTAAATTTCTGTTGTATTTTTGCTCTGAAAATCCACCAATTTCAGGCCCATCCTCTAAAGCAACGTTAGTAATGTCGAAATACCGTTTGTCTTTAAAGTTCAAGTTGATTTCCAAAGCCTCAATTCTGAACCAAATGTTACTTTTAGTAATAGTTTTCATTCAAATAATTCCGTTTGTTCTTGTGAAAGAATTATCGTTCCCCAGGAACGATGCAGCTTCATGTTTAAAAATGTTTTTTTAGGATACTCAGCTCACCTAGCATAGGAGAAATAAGGGGCATCAAACCAGACTTGGATAAACTGGCAGCTGTACTTAATATCTCATTCTAGTATTTTCATTCATTAAAAACCAGATCAGCAAAAGTTTTTTTCTTCAGTTATTATACTTTTTAATCATTTTAAGTCATAAATATCGAATGGAGAATCTGCAGATGTCATCATGTCGTAGACAAATTCTGCTCAATCAAAAAGTCAAAGCATGAAATATCTATTGTGAACATTTAGGAACTAGAAAATTAGAATTTTTATTTTTTAATGTGTTGCACATTGAACAATCAATTAATGGTATACCTTACTACTACCAGCAATAAAGTTTCTGTAGACAGTTGGTTTAAAAATAAAGGTGAAGAGGGTAGATCCCAGGCAGCGCTGAAGAGTTGTAAACACCTTCAAAATTAAAACTGTGTCTGCAAGCCGCCATATTGGATTTTCAGGTTGTACCAAACCAAAATTGGAATCTAAATGTTCCCGGATTTCCGGCCGCCATATTGGAAATTCAGGTTAAAATCTTAAAACCTAACAAAAAATCCACTAAAAGTTAGCGGATTTGTAGTGTGTATAGGTTGGATCGGTTAGAATACTTTAGAGTAGAATTGTGGATATTGAAATTAATGTTTGATCTCCTCTTTTTGTTCATCTTAAGATTATTTTGATCTTTAGTATGTATCAAGGAAATTATTTAAAACTTAACCAATCAGATTGGCGGATGTCGAATCCCGAACAGCAAATCAGAAGCCGGGAAATTTGAATTGTTCGCGCAATTTAATGACAAAATTCTCATTTGTCAGAATTCTAGGAGGGATATCCGAAAAGAGAGGAAAAAAGGCGGTTTAAAAAGTTCACAGTGAATATTCAGTGAATATTCAGATTAAGCGATCGGTATTAGGGTACTCAATTCTACAGTCAAAGAAAATATCTGTTGTAATTTTATCAATCTGGATTTGAAATTCCTTTTTAATTAAAATCATTGGAAACCCGTTTCCAATAGTAAGTTGTAATAACTAAAAACTGAAATGTTTGACTCACCTTGTATGCATTATTTGCAAATAGATCAATGCAGCACATTCGAAGAACAAAATATGATCTAAAAAAATTTAAACTTTAGTTCTTTTCTTATAGACAGAATTAAAAATTTATAAGAATTTACGAGAAAAAAGGTCCAAATTGAAAATATTTTTTTTATTTTTGAATAATTATTTTAGTAAACTTTACGAACTATTCTTTTTCTAGCATTGTTTAAGAGTATCTAGGAATCTTAAAGGGACCCTCCATTCACCACGGTACCCTTGAAACCTTTATCTGAAAATTCCTGTCTTGTTTTCCTGCAGCAGAAATGCACACGCCACTTTTATAGAGAAAGCACAGTTAAAACTAATCAGTTTTTAAAATGATAAACATGTATATCTAATTCATTCTAGATCAGACGAAGGTTAATGGGTTTAGTTGTTAATTAGACATGCCTTAAAAGTGTACCTGAGCAGGTCCAGGTAGGATTTTCCCTTAAATGCGAGTTGACCGTTCGAAAAGGTCAATTTGTTCAACCCTATCCAGGTACAACATCTTAAATAATATTAATAATAATGTTAATTTGTCCAACCCTATCCCTGTACAACATCTTAAATAATAATAATAATAATGTTAATTTGTCCAACCCTATCCTGGTACAACATCTTAAATAATAATAATAATAATGTTAATTTGTCTCAATTTTGTATAAAAGTAGTGGGTTTAAATAGATCAAATTCAGCAAATAAGCAACCAATCTGAAAACGATGATATCCCAGAGAAAGCTAATTGTAACTTATGTTTACTCCAATTCTAATTTTATATTTTTTATTTATATTTTTAATAGATTTAATTCATAAAATTATTTATAAGTCCGTATTACTTGACCAAAATTCCACCAATGGCAGTGCAGTAAAGTGGTCACATGATACAGGCGGAGACACGTGACCAGTATACTTCTCTGCCATTGTTGATAATTCTGGTCACGTGATATAAGTTAAAGTTTTTCTAAATTTTACATACAGGGTGTTCCACATCATATTAGACCGAGAACGGGTCTAAATTACGATTTTCGGGACTAATTAGAAAATTTCATTAGAATGAATCATTTTAAAAAAGAACATAAGGCTTATATAATAATTTTCTTGCGGGAAATGATTATAGTTTTTCGAGTATTAAGGGTTAATTTTGGTGTTAAAGATTGGAGATAATCTAATATAATATGGGACGCTCTGTATATGAACTTTCGTATAATTTTAACACAGTTTTATATCAATTCCTCGAGATAGGAACATCAGATATAACTTTCATGGGTCACGATCAAGAGCTAAAGTGATTAGCTTTCAGCCTATATACCCCCTTTCGTTTTTCCTTTACAGTCCCTTTAAGCTTGTATAAAAATATTGAAAATTATTAAAAGTATTTATAATGATAATAATGATTATTTAGAGTTTTTAATTTATAAAATAAGATAATAAAAAAATAAAAGATATAAAATTGTACCCGGCGTTGTTCTTGTTTACTGCAGAGGATGATGAAATTTTACATTTTGCCTCTAACCCTGCACTACCACTAGCGGATTTAGCGGATTTAGCTGAATGAAGTTCAACGGATAAAAAAGCTGTTCTTGTGAGAAACATAATTTCTAAAAACTGTTTACTGTTTACTCAGAAGAGCTTTCTCATCATGTTTTCCACGAATAGGGAGCTAGAGAGGTAGAGATGGGAGTGTTCATTTTTTTATTTTGTTCGTTCATCGTTCGTGAACCACCCATTTTGTTCGTTTTTTTTCAATCGTTCAATAAAAATCGATTTCATTCGTTCTCAAAATTATCGTTAATTTTTACATCTATTTCGTTATTTTTCTTACTGAACAATCGTAATGTAAAATCGTTAAAATATGGATCTTTTAGTAAAATCCTCGTTTGCATCCTATACAAGGGCTGGGCACGTCCCTGACTTTTTTTAAATCGTTCTGTTCCATTCTAGATCGAGAACCTTCAGCTAGATCGTTCCGTCCCATTCGTTCTTTTTCCAACATTTCCATTCACGTTCAGCTTCGTTCCGTTCATGGTCATCTTAGTCGAGATTGGTTCCATACCAAGTGTTAAAAATTATTTATGTAATTTTCTTAAGTGGACTCATCAGACACTCCCTCTTAATACTGTGATATATGATGTAATTATACTTAAATGTAATGTATAATTTCAAGTGACCCTCCATTTACAGAGTGGTATGTCCAATGTTATACCTCTGAAACTTTCATTTCTCCATCGTTTTTGAAGTAAGTGAAATGTATGAGTCAGTTTTGTAGAGAAACCACCAATGAAAATAATCAGTTTTCAAAATGGGAAACATGATTGTTTAATGCAATACTTGATCAGACAAAACTTTGCAGGGTATTGTTGTGAATTTTAAACTCTCAATTGATTCTTTATTTATTAAACTGGTATATAGGTTTGTGAATTTTGAAGCTTACGACATATAAATATAGCTTTTGAAGCTTAAATTTAAAAGTTCCTACAATGCTTCCACTTCAATAAAACCGACGTATGCGATGTTTACAGAAATTCAATTGAAATAATTGCACTGGTTAAATAATAAGTACCGAGTAAAAAAATTAATTTTTGATTAATATGTTTATCTTTTAAACTAAAATTTAGATGAGCCTACAATAATTCTTTATCACTATGGGCTAGATATGTTTAAATAGATATAGATATCACAACTATACTTTATCACTATGGGCTGGATGTATGTTTAAATAGATATAGATATCACAACTATACTTTTCATTATATCCTACAAATATGTTACAAGTCCAGAGCCGGCGATTTAAAAAATTCAATAAAATACGACTCGGGTCTAAGCTGTCGTTGAGCCTTATTTACGGCTCGGGCTTTCGGATTTAAGTTGCATCTAATTTTTAACAGAGTTTAGTTCATTACACCGGTTTAATGTTGTAGTTGGCGGATTTTCATAGTTGGAATTGGCACATTCCGGGTTTTGATGAGAATAAGACCCAACATTGAGCCTTATTCTTCACTAAAACCAACCAAGGTCGGTTTTATTTTCATTGGGCCTAACTCGTTAATTCGAGCCTAAGATCTCGCAGCTGTCAATCACGTGACACAAGCTGTCGTTAGAGTTGGGTGTAAGATTGGGTCTTAAAGTCGGGTTTAAGGAATTACGGCTCGAGCCGAAGCTTTTAAATCGCGGGCTCTGTTAGATTAATGAGAGAAACTTGAAATATGAGACACCTAGCGGAGAAATTGGGAACTAACTCATCCTTACTGACACAGGAATATAGTTTATGTTTAACGTTGTAGCAGTCAACAGATCCAACATTGTGTAAAGGAAATATAATAAATTAGAAAATAAAAATAGGGTAGATTGAATAATTAAATTATTGATAGATAAATAGATAGATAATTAATTAGATAGATAGATATATTTATAGATACATAGAGAGATTTATAGATAGATAGATAGATAAATAGATCTATAAATAGATAGATAGATAGATAGTAAGATAGATAGATAGATAGATATATAGATGAATATATCTACTTTTCTACTTTTCGTTTTCCTCTATATATATGATGGAAGAAGCCGGATTTACTTCCTAATTTTGATTGGTTCATTTAAATTTTTTTTACAATTATACAAACTGTTCTGTAGTTACGAATTCTTCAACCCCTCTCTCTCTATTCCCCCCCCCCTCCCCCCCAACCCTAGATCTGACCACCACCATTCATAAAATTCAAACTCATATTCAGTTAATCTTTGATCGAGTTAAAGCAAGGTATCACATTTGAAATCTGTTTATTTGTTTTTGTTTATATATTGTTACTTTTATCTTTTAACTCTTTTAAATCTTTAACATTTATTATTCAAGTTTCTTATTTTGTGTGTTTTTTAGAATATGCCCTGAAGATGGTTAAATAAACCGAAAATTTGACAAAAAGAGTTTGTGTTTCACGGATCTGACAGTGCTAGATTCAGAAGAATTGTAGTTGAATAGATAGATAGATAGATAGATAGAGAAATAGATAAATAAATAGATGGATAGATAATTATAGAGATAAATAGATAGAAAGATAGATACATAGATATATAGATATTTATATAGATAGATAGATAGATAGATAGATAGATAGATACATAGATAAATAAACAGATAGACAGATAGATAGATAGAAAGATATATATTGATAGATAGATGGATAAGTCATATAGATAGAAAGATTGATAGATATATAGTTAGGTAGATAGATATAAAGATAGATAATATATATATATAGATTTATAGATAGATAGACAAATCAAAAGATAGATATTTAGATATTTAGATAGATATATAGATAGATAGATAGATAGATAGATAGATAGATAGATAGATAGATAGATATATTGATAGATAGATAGATAGTTATAAAGAAAATAATAGATAAATAGATATATAGATAGATGGATAATCATATAGATAGAAAGTTAGATAGATATATAGATAGGTAGATAGTTATTAAGATAGATAATAGATAGATAGATAGATATATTCAGATAGATAGATATTCATATAGATAGAAAAATAGATAGATTGATTCACTTATTGATAGAAAAAGGGAAAAATAGATAGATATACTTAATTGTCTATACTTGCCTCAAATGTTTTCTGTCTAATCCTTAATAGTTCAACCTAATATTTTGTTTTATTAGATATTAACTTCTGCTAGATTACATAATCAAGGCTTGAAACATTATGCGCCTCACATATAATCAGGCCCGTAGCAAAAATAAAAATAACTAATTTTGAACATTTTTTCCGATGTACTTTTTGAACCTTTTTTAAATTCATCCCTTGTGAACTTGAAAGAAATAAAAAAAATTTATAAAATGATTTTTAAAAAAAGATAATGAAAACCTTTTTTTAAAAGTTTTTTTAAAAATCTTCCGCTCAGTAAAAAAGGAGTTTTTTGAAGTTTGTTAAAACTCGTTTAGTCAGTAGAAAAAAGGATCGTTTAAAAAAAATCTTTTTGAAAATTTGTTCGTTCATTGAAAAAACTAACGAAATCGGTCATAAACGATTTCAATCTAAACTATTCAAGTCGTACGTTTTAGTTTCTGAACGACACCATCGTTAACGATATATTTCGTTCATTGAAAAAATGATATATATATATATATATATTGAGAAGAAAATGAAATAATTCTCTATTGAGAGAGTAGGGTTGGGTTCGTTTACAACGATATAAAATGATTTTTTATCATGTGCAACCAATATAGCCATTATGTTGAAAATCAACTTTTTAAGGGAAATGGGTCTGTACAGTGTACACTGCACAATTGCAATGTTTCAAGGTCATTGAACTCTTAAAAAATAAACTTCTATAGTCTAACGCTCGTCTTCAGATTCCACACTTCTGTGGGTCTCACTGTATTTTAGTTACTATTCACGTCATCCTTCTACTTTCCTACTTTCATGGAAGAAGTGGAATGTTTAAAAGACCGCAAGTTAAAATCAGATTTTCAACTAAAAAATAAGGATATCACATTTATTCTTGACAAGGCATAATTTGAATTGATCATATTCCGTTGTAAATTGAGTCATTCAAAATAACGCATCTTCCATTGACCTTGAAACATTGTAATTGTTTGAAATTACAATCCAATTTGCATGATATATAACAACTGTGTACTGTAAACAGACCCGGCCACTAGACTAAATAAGTTTATTTTTAAGTATGTAAAACTATTTGCTTTATAACAACATCAAAACACATTAGATTGATTAAATGTCGTCTTCCTAGTCCACAGTTATAAGAAATCCACTGTAGGAACTGAAATGTTAAGTTTGCTACTTATTATTAATTCAAGCTTTTTTACAGTGACACCCATAACCTTTGTAATAAAAAGACATCATTTAGGTTAAGTAAAATGGGCCTGATTAATTAATATAGTTTTGAATAACATTTCACTCTATATTCAGATTACAAACTAAAAGTTGGAACTTGTTTTCTGGAATATACCATACCAAGTAATTCAGAAAACATAAGCCCTGAATAACAATTATAAAATCTTCAATTATAAGGACTTATCAAAAATGTAAAAAACCCTTCAACAAATTTACAGGTAAAGTGATTAATGTTATCTGATGATAAATGCAGAACATTGATTAAATTGGACCTTTCAGGATCAAGGGTTAAAATCCAAGAAACATTGGAATAGGAAGACGACATTATAGCAATACTGAAGCGTTTTGATGTTGTTACAAATAAAATATTTTTACTAACATGTCACGCACCTCTGACCCTTTAGTAAAAGTAAATTCAACCTAAAGTGTGACCGCGTCAACCTTGTTGCACCGGCTAGTCCTATTGAGTGTCTGCTTTATTAACCCAGTATCAGGGCGATACAGTACAAACTGGGACCGGAAAGGTTGACCCGGCTCGGAAATTCAAATGTACTACGGCTGCCCGTGATCTTATCAAAGCACTATTTAAGTGAAATGGGTCCATTTACATTGTACAATTGTTATGTCTAATATTCATTGAACTAGTTTAAGTCCTAAAAGTCGTCTTCCTATTTCAGAGTTTTCTGGCTATCACTGCAGGCACTGTCAAAAAAGTCGTTCAAGAAATTATTGGTGTAATTTTAAATTACCTGGCACTTATCAAAGAGGGGTCTGCCTGATTTACAATAGTAGCCTTTAAACGCGCTTTATCAAATAAAAAATATTAAAGATATAGTCGGTTGAATTCAATGTCCATGGATATTGTTTCTGAAGCAAGTAACTTTATATAGACACCATAATCTAAAGTAAACTTTCAAAGTAATTGCGTCTTTGTCATAAACTCTCTGTGTCACTTTGCTAAGATTGAAATATTGGCTTAATGTTTTGTGAAACATACTGTATTAATTCTAACACAGTAATCTGGTTACCCCACACAAACTAATATCTTATTCATTAGAACTCACCATCCGCACCCACGCTTTACTAAAAATCTTACTAAAATATTGTGACCTTTTTATCAGACAGGGAGGAGGGGGGGAATCTTGAAAAGGTCTTCATTAAAAAAGAGTATTGTTTATGTCCAATTCTTTAAAAGGTTTAAATACCCCTCCTTTAACAAGAAGCTCCCCCCTCCCCCCGATTTACGTAAAAGTTGGTTAATTAGATCGACCCCCACCAAAGGAATGTTCTTTTAATGTCTCTCAATTTAGTTGGACAATTTGTATTAGAACTTTTAGATAAATTGAACCAAAAAACACACATCCAAAAAAACACATAAAATTAATATTTGCTTACGTCCCTTATTTTAACTATCAAAAGATTTTCAAAATTTGAAGCATAATGATAACGTTTGACGCGCATGAATGGATTAACGAGATTCCCACTGTCCCTATCTACTATCTAGCGAAACCGCAGCCAAGGGAACGGACTTGGGAGAATCAGCGGGGAAAGAAGACCCTGTTGAGCTTGACTCTAGTCTCATATTGTGGCGAAGCATTTCTGGCGTAGAATAGGGAGGAGCTTCGGCAACAGTGAAATNGGGGTGGGTCGGCCATCAAACCGTAAGATGAATAATGAAAACACGTATTAATAATTTGAATAACTATTTAAGGACTCAAGATAAACTTTTATTTTTCTATTTTTAATATTTTCCAAGACAAACTAAACAATACTATGAGTGGGTTGAAAAGAGCGAGTATATAGGAAGAGCCATGGAAAATGCGCAATTCTCTTTTCTGGATCCTTTTTTAATGTGCAGTATACACCAAAGTTTGGATACTCTGGATACGCTCCAATGTACGGGAAATGACGTCTTCATAGCAATAGACACTCAAAATCCTCATATGACGTAACTTATAACAGCTGAAAAGCGGAGAAAACCCCCCCCTCTCACTAACTACATAAGCAGTTTCGTCAAAAAGTTGCTATGAAGACGACATTTCCAGTACCTTGGAGCGCATCCAGAGTATCCAACTTTAATAACCAACCTTGGTATACATCACATGCAAAACAAAACGAAAAAGAAAAGGTATTTTCATATTAAAGGAGTGCTTCTGAGTTTAGATTGGGTTTCTGATCGATTGTTGACTTTTACAATTGATTAAAATTCTGAAGCACACCTTTTACGACGGTGAAGTTTTGCAGACTTTCAAAAGTCAAAAACATATTTAAGGTGATAAGGATTATAATTAAGAGACATAAACATAACCATATTTTTTCGTATTTACATTGGCGTATAGGTTCTGCGGTACATTTTAAGTAAGTTTTTGAATATGTACGTCATGTAATTTAAATATAATTTATAGAAAATGCAACTTTTTCTAAAAAACATGCTCGCAATGGCACCAAATATACTTTTTTTATTAAGAGACGATTCTTAATTCTCCACTCAATATTTTCACAATCAACTGAAACCCTACGTTGCACAAAACGAAAGAGAAGGTCTAATGTTTTTTTAACAATGATCTTTTTAAATTAATGATCATTAAGATTATGCCAGGCAAGCTTTTCATCATCTTCAAAGCACTCATAACACTCCTCACACTGCACTGAAGGTTTTACTTGAACAATGGGATCTAGAATCTTAGTCTCCGGAGTCCGCAGAAGATCTGATTTGGGGGATTTTAACTCCGATTTTCGGGGGATTTTCCGCGGAGACTCAAGGAGGGGTTCCGTTGGTTTCCGTTTTCCGGAGAGAAGACGGGGTAAATCGTTCTTTATGAGTCGATCAGTGTCACTGAAAAGTGATTATGTCGTTAATTACGAATATAAAAATACAAGATTTTAGAAATTTTACAGATAAAAAACATATCATGACAATTAAAAATATACTTTTTTGCTAGATTTTAATGCTGTCTTATTAAAGTTATTTTTTATATTTAAAATTTCGGGAAAATCGGTAAAGAAAGTCAGAATTTTAGTAAGATCAAAATAAAGTGACTCACCTAAGAATGTCGTCGACGTCTGCGACAATTTTGTCTTCGTCATCTTCGTCTTTGGCCGGCGCTAACCTTTCGTCTTTCTTGTCCATTTCCAATTCCTCTTTCGTCCTTAACTCGTCTTTTCCCTGCCGCAACTCAGACTGAATTCCTTCAACCTCCTAAAATAAAATTCAAACAAATTCTTCTTTTGCTGATCTACCATATCAAATGTTTTAAATTACAATTCCAATTCCCCATTCCCATCCCCATCCCCATTCCCATTCCCATTCCCATTTCCATTCCAATACCAATTCCCATTCCAATTCCCATTCCAATTCCGATTCCGATTCCGATTCCAATTCCAATTCCAATTCCAATTCCAATTCCAATTCCAATTCCAATTCCAATTCCAATTCCAATTCCAATTCCAATTTCAATTCCAGTTCCAATTCCAATTCCAATTCCAATTCCAATTCCAATTCCAAAAGCCAGGGAGTGGCCATTAGCTCTTTGACCTAGTCGAGGTATGCTATCACAATCCTTTCTAGGACAAAGCAGCCTCACATAGTTAAAGCCTTACGTCAGCAACTTTAATCTCTATTCTCACCTTCGTAATATCCTCAATTGTCTCACTCATCTCACTGCCCGGCCTCGCTCCATTCAGAGCTGTAGAGGCTTTTGTAGGTAACCGTTCCGAGGAGTTGGAGGATTCTGGTCCAGGTAGTTTGGCGGATTTCTGGTCCAGAATTTCACGCGGTATTTCCTCTCTTAACGTCTCCTCTCCCTGGATAAATATAACTTATACTGATCCTTGACAGAGTCTAAAACTAAAGAATGCACGAAATTTAAGTTATAGCTTAAAAGTTCTGTAAAAAAATGAGTTGCTACTTAAATTAGAACTTTTTTAAATAAACCCTCAAAGGAAAAATCTGAACCAAACAGAGAAAAGGTTTTACGGAGAGATATTACGTAACCATCGCTCATCAGTTAAGACCTGGTAAAATATTTCTGTATTAGGATGAGTCCTTTTGTAAAACTAGAATTTCTAGACGGCGACTGGTTTTATATCAAGTCGATCCAATTATATATTTGCATTGATGAACTTCTTAGTCCATTCAATCCCTCTTCAAAACGAAAATGACCATATAGTTCTTACAAGCTTAAGCAAAAGCGTTTTTCTCGGCAAACTACTGTTAAGAAATAAAATGTAAACTATAATTTTACCAATTCATCACCATCCTCCTCGTCATCCCATTCATCGGCCAGCTTCTTAATCACCTCAACCTTTATAATAATAATCATAATAATAATAATAATATATTACTTATAGATGACATCTGATATTCACAGGTGTTTTATTCCATTTTAAGACAAAAAAATTGTTGCGGATTTATGATATTGTGTGAAATTAGATATCAATATATTGGCATGTCCCCCGCCTCCCTTTTATGATATTTTTACCGAAATTCAGCCCCCCTAAAATTGTGGGAAAAGAAAACCCCTTAAAATATTCAGGTATTAATAATTGTTTGATCATAACTCAGAAACACTTTGACCGATTTGCCTCGAATTTTGACTGGGGAACTAGGAAGAACTATAGAAATGTTCTTAGCTGGGGTTTTGCAATTTAAAGTTCAGTGGTTTAGGGAAAAAAAGTTTCCAGTTAAAGCCGGGTTTCCAGCTAGTTCCTAATAATCCAAAAAAAAATGTTGAAGAGGGAGCAAAATTACTTGTCAAGAAAGTATATAACCCTCTGGGACCCTGAAATGCACCTTCTGTTTGTTCGGTGAGGAGCAGCTGGAGGGAGGAGGCGAGGAGGGATTTTTTTCAACTTCATTCTTACCAGGAGATTCCCCTTCTTTACCAGGAGATTCAGGTATCTTATCCACGTTTTTACTGAGATAGAACAAGGATTAAAGGAGATTCAGGTATCATGATCAGCATCATGATTAACATCATGATCAGCATCATGATAAACATCATGATAAACATCATGATCAGCATCATGATAAACATCATGACCAGCATCATGATCAGCATCATGATCAGCATCATGATCAGCATCATGATCAGCATCATGATCAGCATCATGATCAGCATCGTGATCAGCATCATGATCAGCATCAAAATAAACATTATGATCAACATCAAGATAAGCATCATGATCAGCATCATAATAAACATTATGATAAACATCATGATCAGCATCATGATCAACATCATGATAAACATCATAATTAGTATGATGATCAGCATGAGGATCAGCATCATGATCAGCATCATGATCAGCATCATGATCAACACCATGATCAGCATCATGATCAGCATCATAATCATAATCATTGATCATACTCATGATCATACTCGTGATCATACTCGTGATCATTCTCACATGTTTCATGATGATTACATCATTATTCAATGTATTACCTGTGTACTATTTTCTGGTGCTCCAACAAGGGTTTAATTTGTTGAAAGGTTGTACTACAGTCACTGCATTTATAGCACTATAACAAACATAAATTTATTCAAACAAATCCGTAAATAAAAAGTTAGGTATCAAAAATAAAACATTTGTGTTAAAGTTTTATAAGACTCAGCTATATAACAATAAAGATTTAAAAATTCTATTGCAAACTTTTTTTAGACAAACAAAATAAAGGGTGTAAAGAAAGTAAAGCATCAGACTGTTATGGCTCTAACTTGGTGAAAGAAGTGCGATCAACAAATAAATTTTTCTATCTGCCCTTAATAAACCAGTTTTAATGGAAACAAACACATTCATAATTGTTGTTTTCACTTAGAAAAACACCCACTCATAGAAAGTTTCCAAAAATAAAGTCTGAAATGACATTTATGCAGGATGGAGCTCGCTGTCATACAACTGCTACAAGACTCCAGTGGATCCAGGATGGAGCTCGCTGTCATACAGCTGCTACAAGACTCCAGTGGATCCAGGATGGAGCTCGCTGTCATACAGCTGCTACAAGCCTCCAGTGGCTCCAGGATGGAACTAGCTGTCATACAACTGCTACAAGCCTCCAGTGGCTCCAGGATGGAGCTCGCTGTAATAAAGCTTCTACAAGCCTCCAGTGGCTCTAGGATGGATCTCGCTGCCATACAGCTGCTACAAGCCTCCAGTGGCTCCAGGATGGAGCTCGCTGTCATAAAGCTGCTACAAGCCTCCAGTGGCTCTAGGATGGAGCTCACTGTCATACAGCTGCTACAAGCCTCCAGTGGCTCCAGGACGGATCTCGCTGCCATACAGCTGCTACAAGACTCCAGTGGCTCCAGGATGGAACTAGCGGTCATACAGCTGCTAAAAGTATCCAGTGGCTCCAGGACCACCATGTTAACTTTTGGGGGAGAGAGGAATGGTTTTCTAACTCTCCAAACCTCAATCCAATTAAAAATCTGTGGTCTATACTGGAGTAGAAGATGAAGTCGGAGAAGACTCAGCCTCAGAATAATGCTCAATTGGAAAAGCTACTGAAAAGACCCTAGAGAAACATCAGCCTGGAGACCCTGCAGAACCTGGTCTCATCAATGCCAAACCGAGTAAAATATATTCATATTAGTCGGGGTCATTACTCATTATGTAATAAAATAAATTTATATTGACACATATAGGACATTATTTTCAGTGATGCATTACTTTCTTTATACCCTATATTCGATTTTAAAAATTATAGATTTAAGACTTGTATTTTTTGTACTACGAGCGTCGGGAAACCCGATAGTCGCGGGGTGCAATTTAAACTACCCTTTTGCAGTCATTGAGCATTATAAGCTTTGCAACCCAATTGTAAAGTGTTTAAGCTTTAATTTTGCAACCAATTTTACAAGAGCTCATTTTTTATTTTGCAACCAGTAAAGATTAACTTTGCAACCCATTTATGTTCCAGTTTTGACTTTGCAACCAATTTTACAAATAGCAATTTTGACTTTGTGACCAATTTTACAAGTGTGCAAGTTTTATCTTTGTAACCAAGAATTCTTATATTTTCAACCTATTTGAGTTCAAGTTTTGACTTTGCAACCAAAAATTCTTAGATTTTCCAACACTATGTGCTTAAGTTATGACTTTGCAACCAATTTATTCAAGTGTGCAACTAAGAATTGTTTACCGGAGGTCCACTCGGCATATCTGGGTCTAGATCATTCATGGAGGAATGAGAACCTGGTGTTTTCACCATGTGAAATCTAAATACAAACAATAACAGTAAGAACAAGTTCTGATAGCAATTCTGGAATAGGAAGACGACTTTTAAACTCCCGTAATAACTTAAACTAGCCCAATAAGCTTGAGACCCAGCAAATGTGTTGTGTAAACAGAACTATTTCACTTGATAACTTAAACTAGCCCAATAAGCTTGAGACCCAGCAAATGTGTTGCGTAAACAGACCTATTTCACTTAATAAATGATTAATTTACCAGTGAAACTATTATACTAGAGTATTGCTTTAATGTGTTGAGTAAACAGAACTATTTCACTTAATAAATGATATATTTACCAGTGAAACTATTATAATAGTTTATGGCTTTAATGTGTTGAGTAAACAGAGCTATTTCACTTAATAAATGATATATTTACCAGTGAAACTATTATACAGGGTGTCCCACGAAACATGACATTTAATAAAGTTATTTTTAATAAATCTTTTGCTTGATTATATTTTACTTTGAAATCAATTTTAATATAACATGACTCCCATTTAATATATTTATTGCTCTTTGGTATCAAACAACTGAGCAAATAATGGAAAAAGACATTCTAAACTATTTACCAACTGTCATGTTTGTGGGACACCCTGTACTAGTGTATTGTTTTAATGTCGCCTTCTTATTCCACAGTTTTCGGGAAACAATGAGAAAATGTTAAATTTTTTATGGATTTTATAATTAGTATAATTTATTCTTTAAAGGAGTGACTGGCTAGGTATGGTAGTTGAATTGAAAGTCTTTATATAATGTAGCAATTACAGAACTTTAAACGTTTAAAAGGTAAAGAGTGTCCCAAAAAACATGGGAATTCAGTGACGAATTCGATATCGTCTTTGTTATGAATTGGCATTGTAACCTTGACACCCTGTATCATAAGAATCATGATATTTTTCTCTATAACACTGCAGTTCAACTACCAACCATAGCCAGTTACTTCTTTTAAATTTAATGAACAGGGTGAATTACAAATTCTCTTCAACTTAAACTGGAACAACATATAAGTAGTTATACTATGTATGCAAAGTTCCGACATCGTTTTGCTTATTAATACACCTCTTTCCCGGACTCATTCACATTTACATTTCTATTTGTGGTCAAAGGACAATTTGAACAATTTATATCTTTATTGACTTATTGTTATGCTGTCTTCCATTCAAGATGGGTCATGCCCGATTCACAACATTCGTTTCTCTAGCTTGGAAAAGTAGTTATTTTGGACGATTTCCTACGTTGTCCTCTGAAGTAGAAAACCGCAAGTTACTTTGTATAGATATTAAAATGGAAAAATATTTAATTTTTAAAAGAAGATTAAGGACATCTCATATTATCTTGATTTGGACAAGTTTTTATGGTACGCGTTGAGAAAAGGATATGCCATTTAATAAATGAGGAATATACAGTCCCAATATGATATTTTCATGCTTTAATGTTATAAAGGTGAATGCCTACCTCTCAACATGCTGTATGAGCATAGATTCTACTGTATTTGCGGGAAATTCAAGTTTTAGTATTTAGAAGGTGCCTACCTCTCTACATGCTGTATGAGCGTAGATTCTAGTGTATTTGCGGGAAATTCAAGTTGACATTGATCGCATCTAATTACTCTAGGTCTAAAAAAAATGTTTTTAAAATTTGAAAAAACCCATATTTCTTATTTTACACAATATCTTTGCAATCTGATGGTATACAACATTGTAATTATATTCTTTGGTATTTTGATCTGACATAATTCACATTTTGAAATATGAGAGGCTTTTAACATCAGGTTGCAATGATAAAGGTTTAGAATCAGAGTTTGTGGCAAGTGTTCATTTTCTTTGTACTTTCCCAAAGACAGTTGTAAAATTAAATTCTAGATTTCGATTACAAATATTTTAGCAAATAATATAAATACTTATTTTCTCTTTTCTTTTCCTTCGATAATTTTGGAAAAAAAACCTTGTTTTTTTATACAGATTAAAAAAACTTTTTTGTCACCCACCAAACTCGAAATAAATTCACTAGTTCAAGAATGGAGTGAGGTCCTATAGCTTACTATACACCCACCAAACTCGAAATGAATTTACTAGTTCAAGAATGGAGTGAGGTCCTATAGCTTACTATCCATCCACCAAACTCGAAATGAATTTACTAGTTCAAGAATGGAGTGAGGCCCTATAGCTTACTATCCACCCACCAAACTCGAAATGAATTTACTAGTTCAAGAATGGAGTGAGGTCCTATAGCTTACTGTCCACTCAACAAACTCGAAATGAATTTACTAGTTCAAGAATGGAGTGAGGTCCTATAGCTTACTATCCACTCACCAAACTAGAAACGAATTTACTAGTTCAAGAATGGAGTGAGGTCCTATAGCTTACTATCCACCCACCAAACTCGAAATGAATTTACTAGTTCAAGAATGAAGTGAGGTCCTATAGCTTACTATCCACCCACCAAACTCGAAATGAATTTACTAGTTCAAGAATAGAGTGAGGTCCTATAGCTTGTACCAAGTTAATTTTCCAAAAACTTACTTTGAAGATTTTTTTGGTCTGCCCCTTCCTCTTCCTCTATGAGTATACTTTTCTTTTCTTGCGGCTCCACCCCGACCATGTCCTCGCTTACGTTCCTGGAATTTATTTTATAATTATAATTTCATTGATCTTTCATTTTTATTTATTCTGATCAATAATGTGGAAGATGTCCTCGTTTTTCTAGCTTGAGAAGTGAATAATTCTGACCATTTCCTTTTCTTTGTTTCCTCAGAAGGCAAGTCACTTTTAAGAGACACCCCGGTTGAAAATAATAAATTTTCAATGCTAAAAACATGGATATCTTAAACTAGTAATATTCAGCTTATTGTAAACTTTAATTTACGCTTTTATGCGGCACCTCGGTAAACTAGTAATATATAAACAAAATGATCAAAATTTCAAAATATAAACATAATGATCAGATTATCAAAATATGATTTAAAAATCAGATTATCAAAATATAATTTAAAAATCTGATTATCAAAATCTGATTTAAAAATCAGAATATCAAAATATGATTTTAAAAATCAGATTATCAAAATCAGATTTAAAAATCTGATTATCAAAATATGATTTATAAATCAGAATATCAAAATATGATTTATAAATCAGAATATCAAAATATCAAAATAAAAAAAAAATCAGAATCAAAATATAAATAAAATTCAGAAAATCAAAATATTTAAAAAAATCTTAAATTCAAAATATTAATTAACAAAATACTAAAAACATTAAATATTAAAATATTTTTAAAAAATCAGAAAATCAAAATATAAATATAAAAATCTGAATATCAAAATATTAATAAAAAAAGCTACCTTCATAAGATAAGTGTCTGCAAAATCGAGTCCATGGGTCATTAAACTCAACCGTAGATCTTCCTATAATAATTAAAATTATTATTACACTCAACCGTAGATCTTCCTATAATAATTAGATTATTATTAAACTCAACCGTAGATCATTCTTAAATGATTAGATTATTATTAAACTCAACCGTAGATCTTCCTATAATAATTAGATCATTATTAAACTTAACCGTAGATCTTCCTATAATAATTAGATTATTATCAATCTCAACCGTAGATCTTCCTATAATAATTAGACTATTATTAATCTCAACCGTAGACCTTCCTATAATAATTAGATTATTATTAAACTCAACCGTAGACCTTCCTATAATAATTAGATTATTATTAAACTCAACCGTAGACCTTCCTATAATAATTAGATTATTATTAAACTCAACCGTAGACCTTCCTATAATAATTAGATTATTATTAAACTCAACCGTAGACCTTCCTATAATAATTAGATTATTATTAAACTCAACCGTAGACCTTCCTATAATAATTAGATTATTATTAAACTCAACCGTGGATCTTCCTATAATAATTAGACTATTATTAAACTCAACCGTAGATCTTTCTTAAATTATTAGATTATTATCAAACTCAACCGTAGATCTTTCTTAAATGATTAGATTATTATCAAACTCAACCGTAGATCTTTCTTAAATGATTAGATTATTATCAAACTCAACCGTAGATCTTCCTATAATAATTAGATTATTATTAAACTCAACCGTAGATCTTCCTATAATAATGAAATTATAATTGAACTCAACCGTAGATCTTCCTATAATTATTATATTATTATTAAACTCAACCGTAGATCTTCCTATAATAATTAGATTATTATTAAACTCAACCGTGGATCTTTCTATAATAATTAAATTATTATTAAACTCAACCGTAGATCTTCCTATAATAATTTTATTATTATTAATCTAATCCGTAGATCTTCTTATAATAAATAGATTATTATTAATCTCAACCGTAGACCTTCTTATAATAAATAGATTATTATTAATCTAAGCCGTAGATCTTCCTATAATAATGAAATTATAATTGAACTCAACCGTAGATCTTCCTATAATTATTATATTATTATTAAACTCAACCGTAGATCTTCCTATAATAATTAGATTATTATTAAACTCAACCGTGGATCTTTCTATAATAATTAAATTATTATTAAACTCAACCGTAGATCTTCCTATAATAATTTTATTATTATTAATCTAATCCGTAGATCTTCTTATAATAAATAGATTATTATTAATCTCAACCGTAGATCTTCTTATAATAAATAGATTATTATTAATCTAAGCCGTAGATCTTCTTATAATAAATAGATTATTATTAATCTCAACCGTAGATGTGAAACACCTTTTCCAGTTCAATCCCTGAAAGAAACTTTTAACAAATTTTGGACTAATTAGTACTTAAGGTGGACCATAGAGACATCACTGTATAATCCATTCTTAAAAAACGAATTTAAGAAGCCAAAGGCTGAACCTCTTCCTGTTACCCCCAATTTTTTCAGGAGGGGGGGGGGAGAATTGTCCCCACAATTTGTCAGGGGGGGGGGAGGCCCCATTAAAACCGCCTCTGAAACTGACCTTCTGATTATTGGAAAGTGTCATTCTTCTGCATAGCATTTCCACACATTCATCTACCAATACTGTATCCTATAGACAACCAGACAATCAATCCATCAATCAATCAATTAATAAATCAATCAATCAATCCATCAATCACCAATCAATCGTCACCGAAAGTTATTAATTTGTAAATAAAAATTCAATAGTAAAAAAGTTGAGTAACCTTTTATATGGGGTGTTCCAAGAAACATGACAGTAGACAGACGAATTGAAGGTCGTTTTTGATCTTTGAAATAATTTGCGGCATTTATTTATAAACCTAATTTTAGAATTAAAATTATCACAAAATATCACTAGTATTGGCCTTTCCAAAATGTGGTCTGCTTTTTTTCGCTTTCAATTTAGGTTTTATTTAATAAAATTGAAATCTGAACGGGATTCTTAATATCTCCGGTAATTTGGACAGCACAAACAAGGCAGACCACATTTTGGAAATGCCAGGACTATTAAAATTTTGTAGTTAATGTTTCAAGAATCATACATGCGAAAGTAGATTTAAGACTGAATGTCACAAATAAATTAATAGTTAAAAGACGACCTTCAACTCGTCATGCTACTGTCATGTTTCGTGGGACACCCTGTTTATTAGGAGAATTAAATGATTTAATAATGTTAAAGACTACAAGACATATAATAAAATATTGATAGTCACACTCACAGATAAAAGCATACATTAAATCATCAAATATTTTCAACCATATCAAAAACTAAAATTTCATTTTACAAAATAATAAAAAAAAAATAAGATTATGTTTTATTGTTATTGGTTGTCTATATTCCTTGATAATGTCTCCTGTAAGTCCACTTGGAGGTCTATAATCCTAAATTATTAAACAATAAAAAATAAACTCACTTCACAACTATATTCAAGGTGTCACAAAAAAACGCTCATAAAGGATTAATTTTAATATTTTTGGACATTTTCTAGACTAAACACTCTAGACTATACACTCTAAACTAAACATTCTAAACTCAACATTCTAGACTAAACATTCTAGACTAAACATTCTAGTCTAAACATTCTAGTCTAAACATTCTAGTCTAAACATTCTTGAGTTAATACGCTAGACAATACACTCTAGACTAAACATTCTAAGACTAAACGCTCTAGACTAAACACTCTAGACTAAACACTCTAGACTGAACACTCAAAGCTCAGTATAAACTTAACACTCTAGACTAAACACTTTAAGACTAAACACTCTAGACTAAACACTCTAGACTAAACACTCTAGACTAAACACTCTAAGATTAAAACCTCTAGACTAAACACTCTAGACTAAACACTCTAGACTAAACACTCAAATCTCAACAGTCTAAACTTAACAATCTAGACTAAACACTCAAAACTAAACACTCTAGACTTAACACTCTAGACAAAACACTCTAGACTAAACACTCTAAACTTAACAGTCTAAACTCAACAGTATAAGTTAAAACTCTAGACTTAACACTTTAAGACTAAACACTCTAGACTTAACAATCTAGACTAAACACTCTAGACTAAACACTCTAGACTAAACACTCTAGACTAAACACTCTAGACTAAACACTCTAGACTAAACACTCTAGACTAAACACTCTAAACTTAACACTCTAAACTAAACACTCTAAACTAAACACTCTAGAATAAACACTCTAAACACTCTAGAATAAACACTCTAGAATAAACACTCTAGACTAAACACTCTAGACTAAACACTCTAGATCTAAACATTCTAGTCTAAACATTCTAGTCTAAACATTCTTGAGTTAATACGCTAGACAATACACTCTAGACTAAACATTCTAAGACTAAACGCTCTAGACTAAACACTCTAGACTAAACACTCTAGACTGAACACTCAAAGCTCAGTATAAACTTAAACACTCTAGACTAAACACTCTAGACTAAACACTCTAGACTAAACACTCTAGACTGTACACTCTAGACTAAACAGTCTAGACTCGACTCTAAAATTACACTCTTAATTTTGAAAACCTCCAAACTAGAGAAGGACATCGTTTTCGTGAACGAACGAAATATTTCAAAACGAATGAATTTTTTTTGTGAACGATGGTTAACAAAATTAACGAAGGTAGGAAGCATGAGAATTAAATGGTTCAGAAATAAAAACCGATAGTTTTCTAAACAAATCAGAAAAACAATAACGAACGATGAAAACTAGTTAACGATAATATTTTATCAATCAGCCAGAGAGTAAACGAACATTTTCTAAATTATATGTTCTAACGAACTTTGATGAACGATCTCACTGAACGATCGCTCAGTTAGAAAACAAACAAAACAGATAGAAAATCGAACGATCATTTTGAAAACTAAAAAATTGAAATTTTATTAAACGACTGAAAAAAATAAAATGGGTCGTTAACGAAGGATAAATGAACGAGTTTTTAAGACAAAATAAAAGAGATTTACGAGTTTTTTGTTTGTGCATAATTTCAAAAAAACATAGTCTAAATGATTCAGTTGTAGAGACGTCATGCTCGATTAATTGATTGTTGTTCAAACTGAATTTTCTCGCTGAATCTCTTTTCCCGAATTTACATGTTCTAATTTCACGGATTTTTGGAGTTTCAGATTAGAAATCTTTCCTTTACAAGATTTTAATGGTTTCATGCTTTAATTATTACTATTCTTTCAAGTTTTTTACCTGCGAATAATCTGAGTTTGCTGCTAGGTTTTGTTTTCGAGGTTGTCTGTTTACAGGTACTTTAGGGGTCTCAACACTCTATATAAAGGTAGTTTAGGGGTCTCAAAACTCTATATATAGGAAGTTTAGGGGTCGCAACACTATAAATATAGGTAGTTTAGGGGTCTCAACACTATAAATATAGGTAGTTTAGGGGTCTGAACACTCTAAATAAATGTAGTTTAGGGGTCTCAACACTCTAAATATTAATGGTTTAAGGGTCTGAACACTCTAAATATAGTTAAGGGTTTTTTTATTCTTTCCACATCCCCCATATAATATTTTTTATTTCCTTCCTCAAATTCAAAAAATAAAAAGAGGTCATTTTAGTAATTTTATAATAATCATAAAATTTTTACATTTTGCTGAAAACCATAGTTGGCGCCGAAAGCGAGTTAAAAAAAAATTCTCAAAGTTCTCAAAAATACCTTATTCTATAATTTTGAATGAATTTGAGCCCGTAGCACAATACATTTGCAGTAGGTTTGATTATTTGGAAAAACTATTGATTATTTTATCATTCTTTATAGCTGAAATTTGTTACAGATTTGGTTTCGATATATTTTAACTATTGGAGGAAATAAATAATTATTTGTGAAAATTTATTCTTTATCCTTCTTTTTCTTTTCCTACGTTTTCTTTTCCTTCGTTTACTTTTCCTTCTCTTTTTCTTGCCCCTTTTTACAATTTTATAAACACCTGGAAAAAAACATTAAAAAATGTAGCTTTGAACTAACCTGAGATCTATAATTATCAGATTTAACTCCAACCATGTGAATCATTCCTCCTTCCTTCATGGGGACTGCCAACCCTCCACTACCCTGCTGTAATCAATTAATCAATTATCAGAAATCAACCAATAAATCAATCAACCAATTCATCAACCAATCAATCACTCACTCACTCACTCTATTAATCAATCAATCAATCACTCAATCAATGGTCCCGCTATGTAAATCATCCCTCTGTCCTTCATGGGGACTACCAAACCTCCACTTCTCTGCTATAATCAATCAATCAATTATCATAAATCAACCAATCAACTAATGCATCAACCAATTCATCAACCAATTCATCAACCAATCAATCAATCAATCCAATGGTCCCGCTATGTAAATCCTCCCTCTGTTCTTCATGGGGACTGTCAATCCTCCACTTCCCTGCTGTAATTAATTAATCAATTATCATAAATCAACCAATCAATCAATCAACCAATTCATCAACCAATTCATCAACCAATCAATCAACCAATCAATCAACCAATCAATCAATCAATTTATCACTCAATCAATCAATCATTCAATAAATCAATCAATGGTCCCGCTATGTAAATCATCCCTCTGTTCTTCATGGGGACTGTCAATCCACCACTTCCCTGCTGCAATCAATCAATCAATCAATCTATTTTCTAAGAAAATATAGACCCCTGGGTATGCACTGCCCCCTCTCTTGTTAAGTTGTTACTTCAATGGAAAATATTACTCACCAAGGATTGTGAAACTGGAACCTGATGGAGACCTTCTCCAGATACATAAACAACGTTCTGTCCAGACATGGAACTACACAAACATTAATTTATCAATCAATGAATGGATGAATCAATTAATTTTAGGATGAAAAGATGAAGCCATTCGAGGATGAAAAAATCAATGAATCAATCAATTAACTTATCTTTCAATCAAAATATCAATTAACAATTCATTAAATCCTGATTACCTTGCCAGTGAGCTAGGTATCATAAGAACTCCCCCATCCTGATCTGCTCCTAGAGTATACCCCTCCTCCTCTCCGAATTGGTCGTGTACACCATGTTCTCCATCAACTACTCCATCTCCCTCTCCACCAACTATCAGGAGCTGTTGTCCGTCCTCTCCCTCCAAAGCATTCTGATCCAGGATCATATAAGTCTCCTAAATAAAAGGGATATATACTATACAGGTATACTAGCTTAGGGAACCCAGCGTTATTCATAGTTTGTCCCACCGTTTAAACGCGCTTTGTCGTAAATTACGATTTTAGCTAAATTTCGCTAAAAAAGTGGACACACTCAACTTAGAATCTCAAAACCAAACTAAGACCATTTCCGTGGTTCTCCCGAGTTCCCCAATAAAAATTTTCGCCCAATCGGTTAAAGGGTTTCGAGTAATGATCGCACACCCAAACAAACAGACAGACAGACATATAAATATATATAAATATATATATATATATATCATAAGGAAATCATTTATGTATATATGAATAGATCTATAGGTTAGTGGTGTGCACTGTGCAGTGCATAGTACTTGAATTGTGTACTAGCTCACATCGAACTATATATATATAGGTTAGTGGTATGCACTGTGCAGTGCATAGTGCTTGTATGGTGTACTAACTCACATCTAACTATATGTATATATGTATATATGTATATATGTATCTATGTATATATGTATTATGTATATATGTATATATGTATAGATCTATAGGTTAGTGGTGTGCACTGTGCAGTGCATAGTGCTTGTATGGTGTACTAACTCACATCTAACTATATGTATATATGTATAAACTAGGCTTTTAGGGCGCTTCGCGCCAATCTTCTATTTAATTGTGAACATGTTCTTTTTGTTTACATTTAAAAACAAAGATTGCGGATTTAAAAAAAAAATTCGCGGATTTTCAAGAATTTAATTTTTTTTTTACAAAATTAAAATCTTTTAAAACACATTTTTTTTAATTTGTATCATTCATAAACCTTCCCTGTGGTCACGTGATGTCCCACAAAAAATTTGGGCCCGATCCTTATCTAAGAAATTTCTATACCAATAAACCTGTTGGTGTGTGTTTACTGTTTACGTGAAACACAAAACTGAAAGTTACTTGAAAATACGTCTATAGATCTTTTAAAGTTTTTAACTGACCTGTCCGGTGTGTGGGTCTATAACTGGCACAGCAAGCTGTTGTGTCCCATCTTATATAGTTTTTAACTGACCTGTCCGGTGTGTGGGTCTATAACTGGGACAGCAAGCTGCTGTGTCCCATCTTATATAGTTTTTAACTCACCTGTCCGGTGTGTGGGTCTATAACTGGGACAGCAAGCTGTTGTGTCCCATCTTTTATAGTTTTTAACTCACCTGTCCGGTGTGTGCGTCTATAACTGGGACAGCAAGCTGTTGTGTCCCATCTTTTATAGTTTTTAACTGACCTGTCCTGTGTGTGGGTCTATAACTGGGACAGCAAGCTGCTGTGTCCCATCTTCACTTTGCAGTGCAACCAGCTGGGTAGGTGTACCATCATCTGTAAATATATTAATAAATCATAAGAATTTATTAAAATAATAATAATACATTTGATCAGAGATAGTAAATAAGGAAGTGAATGAACATTGATAAATAATTTACTGAAATTAATCACTCCATTTAAATTTTTCCTCCAAAAGCGTTGAAAATTAAAATATAATTAATTTATTACTTTTGTAATTTTAATTCGAATAAAAGATTAAATAGAATTAATAAAAAATTCAATTATTTTAAGGTTTTTGTTACCTCCGTCCCCCATCATCATGTACGCGACTCCGTCCTCCATGATCATCAGCTGTTCTCACGAGCAATCAGCTCTTTTTCTGCGGTAATAAGCTGTTAGCAGCTGATTTTTCAGAAATCAATCAATCAAAAATCAGAAAATGCGCAACATTCATAACCTCTGAAATGTAAATTTAATTGTACTATCATTACAAAGACGATAAAAAAGCTCAAAATCTACAGAATTAACGGTATAAATTTAAAAATACGCGACGCCACAGTCTTGCTGGGTCAAAGTATTTCAGTTTAAATGTAATTTTTAAACTTGTAAGATTAGAAACTTAATAATAAAGGCAAGGTTCTTGATTCTTAAGTTTTCTCAAATAGGTTCTAGTATAAAAGATGGCAACGTAGAATTTGTACACCCTCAGAGCAGCTGTTTTCTGACGTCACAAGTGTCGACTTAGTTTTTGTGTCTGACAAAATTATTGATAATTTTATCGTGCTTATCTTACAGTTAAATAAGCGCAATTTTATGTGTTCTTTATTTTTAGTTTTAACACATTTAATTTAATCTTGGAAACATGTCAACTAATTTGAGAAAATTTCGTTTTCCTTGTTATATTCGACACTTGAAACGTTGTGTAAAATTGGTCCAATTCTCTTATACTTGATAATCTATTTGGGTTGTATAATCCTCGCATTCCTTTTTGTCTAATCCTCCAGGAAGAAAAGAAGGTTTGGTGGGGAAAAGGAACATCATCAATAAAAACCTTAGCATGACGTTACAAGCATATTTGGCTTTTTCATAATTTGAACTAAACGTTTCCTGAGATCTGTGAAATTAAAATTTATGCAATATTTGTTGTTAAAAATGTTCAAACGAACTACTGGACTTATTAATATGTTAAGAGGAACTCTTGGAGTTTACACTGATCTTGAAGATCTATGTTCAGACGAACTCTTGGAGTAGAGAACTGAACTTGATGAGTGTTCAGCGGACAACTCCTGGAGTTGAGAACTGAACTTGGAGATATGTTCAGTCGAATATGCTCAGACGAACTCCTAGAGTTGAGATTGAACTTGCTAATATGTTCAGAGGACAACTCCAGGAGTTGAGAACTGAACTTGGAGATATGTTCAGTCGAACTCCTAGAGTTGAGATTGAACTTGCTAATATGTTCAGAGGAATTCCTGGAGTTGAGAACTGAATTTGGAGATATGTTCAGACGACTTTCTGGAGTTAAGAACTGGACTTATTAATATTTTCAGGAGAACTCTTGGAGTTGAGACTGTACTTGCAAATATGTTTAGGCGAATCCTCAACTAGAACTGAACTTGGATATATGTTCACTGTTTAGACGAACTCCTGGAGTTGCGAACTGAACTTGGAGAGATGAGAATATAAATTTTGAAGAGAAGTTCTATGGTTGGCACTATGTGCCCAACAGGAAGCCTAAACATTAATAAATCAAATACACAGATCAATAAATCAATCTAATGATAAAGAAAACATTATTCAATCAATAAATCATCAAATAACTAATTTATCAAATACAAATCAATTAATCAAAACTTGATTCAAAATCAATCCAACATGAATCAATAAAAAATAGATTGGTTGAGCAAAAATTCATTAAAACTCAAATAAAAATTAAAAAATTCTGAAACAGAAGACTTAACAATCTAGACNNNNCCCTATTAATTTTCTTTTAAAATTTTCGAAACTAGTTTGTTAACGCATGATCAGCCTAGGTTATTAATTATTTTCAACTACTATACAGGAAAGCTATGGGATTGGGGCCTGTACTTTATCAAGGATTGGTGACACCAGAGCAAAACAAGATGTTATTTTACTTAATTTTCCCAAAGGTAAAGAAACTTTACATCCAACTGTATGTTGCGGGAATAACAGGGTCAAAGGCAGTTGCGGGAATAACAGGTCGATAATTTCGGTCAAAGGCGGTGGGCGCAATGCTAAAAATATTTACCGGTCTGTTCTCGTTGTCCCCCAGGCAATGGTAGTCATTTGGAAATAGATCTCTACTTAACGCAGAATCCGATAATTTTACATTCAGCGGGGTTGAGAGATAACAGTTTCTAGCAGATACATCCCTAGAGATATAGGCATTATTAAACCAGAATCTGATATTTTTACATTCAGGGGGTTGAGAGATAACAGTTTCTAGCAGCAACATCCCTAGAGATATAGGTATTATTAAACCAGAATCTGATAATTTTACAATCATGGAGGGTTGAGTCTAGCAGCAACATCCCTAGAGATATAGGTATTATTAAACCAGAATCTGATAATTTTACAATCATGGAGGGTTGAGAGATAACAGTTTCTAGCAGCAACATCCCTAGAGATATAGGCATTATTAAACCAGAATCTGATAATTTTACAATCATGGAGGGTTGAGAGATAACAGTTTCTAGCAGCAACATCCCTAAAGATATAGGTATTATTAAACCAGAATCTGATAATTTTACAATCATGGAGGGTTGAGAGATAACAGTTTCTAGCAGATACATCCCTAGAGATATAGGTATTATTAAACCAGAATCTGATAATTTTACAATCATGGAGGGTTGAGAGATAACAGTTTCTAGCAGATACATCCCTAAAGATATAGGTATTATTAAACCAGAATCTGATATTTTTACATTCAGGGGGTTGAGAGATAACAGTTTCTAGCAGATACATCCCTTGAGATAGAAATATTATTAAACCAGAATCTGATAATTTTACAATCAGGGGGGTTGAGAGATAACAGTTTCTAGCAGATACATCCCTAGAGATATAAATATTATTAAACCAGAATCTGATATTTTTACAATCAGGGGGGTTGAGAGATAACAGTTTCTAGAGATATAGGTATTATTAAACCAGAATCTGATATTTTTACATTCAGGGGGTTGAGAGATAACAGTTTCTAGCAGATACATCCCATGAGATAGAAATATTATTAAACCAGAATCTGATATTTTTACATTCAGGGGGTTGAGAGAGAACAGTTTCTAGCTGGGACATCCCTAGAGATAGAAATATTATTAAACCAGAATCTGATATTTTTACAATCAGGGGGGTTGAGAGATAACAGTTTCTAGCAGATACATCCCTAAAGATATAGGTATTATTAAACCAGAATCTGATAATTTTACATTCAGGGGGTTGAGAGATAACAGTTTCTAGCAGAAACATCCCTAGAGATATAGGTATTATTAAACCAGAATCTGATAATTTTACAATCATGGAGGGTTGAGAGATAACAGTTTCTAGCAGATACATCCCTAGAGATATAGGTATTATTAAACCCGAATCTGATATTTTTACATTCAGATTAGGTTAAGACTCCTTGTTTTTCTATCTTGAAAAGTGTATAATTCTGATTATTCCTAAGATCTTTCCGAAGCAAAAATGCTAAGTAAACTTTGTAAAAAAACCACAATTGAAAATTATTAATGTTTAATGGATATACCATTCTAGGTCAAACAAAGCTTTTAAAGGTTTAGATTGAATAGGACATGTCATTCCATATTAAATTAATATTAGCTGAAGGGCCCGGCGTTGCCCGTGGAAAATAATGTTGAAGAACACACCCCGGCCACCCCTTAGTGTCCACAAAAAAAATTCAGCCCAATCGGTCCAGCCGTTTGGCCGGCTATAGGCAACATATATATATACGAATGTTTTGTTTTATTGTATAGATTTAATAAATAAAAAATCAATTAATCAAATAATTTATCAAAAAATAAATAGTTATTTAATAAAATAATAACGATAACTCTAATGCTGACCTATGAATAATATGTCTCTTATGCAAATGCTTTAAAGCAGTGAGTATCTGTAACCCAAAGCAAACTGCTTGGTGTGTGTTGACTGGCTGGTGGGAGGAAGAAAGCCAACGTTTAAGATTCCCTGTCACCGTATTTAATGAAATGTGGGAAGTAGTTGAACTATCTAGATAGGGTTCAACCATATATCTATTATGGCTGATTCAACTTGAAGTTTTAAAATTCTGAACAATCCTAATGTGCAGTGGTTCTGTTACAGCCAATAGATCGATAAAACCAATAATTGAAACCCTCTGATTGGTTGAAATTGTCAGGAAATTAACATTAGGGTTGTTCAAAATATAAAACTTTGAATAAATGATTCAAGGTTGAACTGGCTAAAGGTAGTTTAGTGACCTCTTTCAAGGGAATTAAATTCGGTTCCTGGAGAACAGTAAGAGTAGATCATCATTGGGGAGCTGCCATCATAGGTAGTAGCCAGGAGGGTCAATACATGCTTGTGGTTTATACCATACAAGCTACCACCCTCAGCAACTAGTTTATTTGCTTGATGAGTGCTTGAACCCATTACAACTGTTTTCACAATCACATCTTCAGAATCACAATCAATGTCTAGCCGACCCTAGAAACACACACCTTTTAGTTTCTCATTTAAAGGGACTGTTTGTGAATTTAAAAAAACAGTGTAAAAACAAATCTGACTGATGAGTTTTTTTTGTTTCGTTTCCATTTTTCTTTGTAAGTATAAAGCAAAAATAGAGATTTAACAATTTATGTATAACCAGACTGTTCCACTTTGGGATAAAACTAATTGTATACCCTTCTAAGAGATCTCCAAGGGCTTCACCCTTCTAAGAGATCTCCAAGGGCTTATTGATACATGATATATCCTGAATATTAATATTCTACCGATATATTCTACCAAAGGTCCCCTAATGAAGAGTATCCCCAAGGGCCAAGGGGGTGAATACTATACCTGATATATCCTGCCAAAGGTTCCCAAGGGCCAAGGGATGAATTGAATACTATGCCTGACAGGTCCTGCCAAAAATTCCCTCCTAAAAACTATAACCAAGGGCTACCTGATATATCCTGCCAAAGGCCCAGTCCTGAAAAGTATTCCCAAGGGCCAAGGGATGAATACCTGATATATCCTACCAAAGGCCCACTCCTGAAGAGTATCCCCAAGGGCCAAGGGATTAATACCTGATATATCCTAACAAAGGCCCACTCCTGAAGAGTATCCCCAAGGGCCAAGGGATTAATACCTGATATATCCTTCCAAAGGTCCCCTCCTGAAGGAGATCCCCTAAAGTCAATGAAAGCCTGTCTACAGCTATCTCCTCTATAGGGACCAGGGGTCCAGTTCTTCTACCCCTTGTCTCCGGTATCCTTGAATCCACATCACTAGTAAACAGTTCCTCAGGGTTCCCTTGTAGAGCAGATTTATAAAGAACCCCAGTCCCTTGTAGACTGTAGGCGCCTAATCTAGGAGAACCTTCAACAGCAGGGGTATATATTTTAAAGAATTACCCCCCCCCCTTTAGAAAAAAAAGTTTTGAAGATTTGAGAGGAAAACAAAAAAATTAACAGACGAGGCAAGCCAAAAAATGTATCCATCTATAATTGAGTGGCAGGTTCAATTCACAACGGTACATTTTAAACCTTTTTCTGTGTATCAATAAGGAAGGATTCCGATAAAGTTTTCCCTGAAGACGATGAGAAAAAATCCGCATGAAACCCACAATTGATAATAATCAATTTTCACACAGACAAATTAGGATATCCTACTAAAGTTTGAAGAGTACTGATTTTTGAAGGGGGCGGAGGGTTAACGGAGCTGGGGGGTTTCAACAAAATGTATATAACCCTGACCTTGCATCAGATGTCCTTGGTTAATTGTTATCGACATCCGTTCCTCCCTCTCGTATGACGGTAACCCTGGCAGCATGGGCAAATTTTGCCCACTAGGATGGGTATAACTAGCATGACTTCCACCAGATCTGTTGAGAATAGTTTGAGACACTGAGGTCTGTGTTGTGAGATTGTTCTGGGGTTGAACTGAGACTGTGGCGTACTTGTTATATCTTGAGTCTTGAATCCATCTGGTTATAACGATTGTTATAATGATTACGATAAACAGAACACAGCCACCTATGGCACTAAAGAATATCACATAGGCAGGGACCTACAGTTAAATATTCTCATCATGGGCCAAGAAATCAAATCTGCAAAGAATTGTTTAAGTAACATAAACATAACATAAAACGTAAAATTTCTCTTTTCCTTAAAATAGCTATAATTTGAGATGTTGATTTTTCTTGAAAGCGGCTCACGGATTTCTAACTTAAATAATTAGGATAAAAATGCGATTTATTTGTCTGTAAGTGGTTCTTATGAAACACAGAAGTCAGTTTTTAGCTGAAACACTCAAACTAAAACACACGTTCTGTTGAAATACTGAAATACTGAAAAACAGTTTAAAAGTGTTAAAAATTAGATACAAGAAGACAATAAAAAAAAGGTGAGTAAAAAAACTATAGTTATAAAAAATAAATAGTAAAGGAAACATCATGTGATAACAAGTTTGCGAGGGAGGGTAGATGAGTGAATAATTGAGAATATTGAGTTCCTTTCTAATTCCCTTTTCCTCTTTCACGCTCAGATCGAAGATTGAACAAACCTTCTTACGCTTAAAACTAAAAATATAAATATTTTGATTTTAAAATAATAATTTTCAAATCATTCCAAAAAATACGTTAAATAAAATTAACTTTAAAGGGACAGACAAATGAATCCTAAAGAATTTGTCCACAACACTGCATACTCAGTTCAACTACCTTACATAGCCGGTCTGTCCCTCTAAGTTATTAACAATTTTTTATAGTACTTCACTCTTTCCCCTCTGATTAAAAAAAATTAAAAAAAACATTTATGAAATTTTACAAAAAATACATTAAAATCTTTCTAAAACATTAAAATCACTAATTTTTCTTTTTTAAGGGTCATGCACTTTGTATGTCTTTGAAGTTTTTTTTTTATAAAATCTATTACCTTAGTAGAGTTGTGTTTGTAAGTTTATTTATATCCATCCTAAAATAAATAAACATGAAAAACAGATTTTTTTCTCTACTTTTTGTACTAGAAAAAAAAACATGTATTCATTAGACTGAATTTCATAGTCCCTATTTTATTTGGAGGCAAATTTATTTTGGCAAAACGGGTTATTATTATTTCGCAGATTTTCCTACATATTTTTGGGAAATTTTCATTATGAATAATGAACCTGTTCAGGATTAAGTCTACTGTAATTACAACTTCACCAGCTTTCACTCCAGTACACAGTACTGATACACCCCATACCTAAGTAGGTTAGTAGTGATAGGCAAGTAGGTAGGTAGATAATGAAAAAAATTTAAAATTTATAAATAAACATTAAAATAATTTTTTTAAAACAAATAAAAAAACAGTTCAAATATTGAGTAGCAAGGGTTATTAAATATGTATACCCTTCTTTTGCTAGTGTTAGTGAGGCAGGTTAGCAGTAGATAGGCAAGTAAAAAGATAAATAAATAAATTAACATATATAAAAAAGTTCAAATCTTCAAAAGTCCTTTTCTTTTTATCGGTGAGGGGGNACCCATCCCGGCAACCCTCCGCCTCCTTTAGGAGTACTTGGGTTACAGAGTTAGCATGACACGAGCAATGATACTGTTATGCCCAAGTGGAAGTAGTCGACGCCCTAAAGCCCTTGCTACCAGAATCTAAAGTTAATATTTCAATACATTCATCCTGGAGATATATCTATCAATATTTATCATTGAAATGTATATAGACTATATTCATTCTTGAAATATATACATCTTTTATTTTATCCTTAGTTAAGTTACCTGGGGTTGACTTGGAACACTTCCAGAATTCGAGATATTAACCCTTGGTTGGGTGAGAATACTTGTATCTGAACTAGCAAAACTCAACTAAATAATACAGATATTAACTCTAGTAGAGTATAAACTTGTATCTGAACTCAACTAAATAATACAGATATTAACTCTAGTAGAGTATACTTGCATCTGAACTCAACTAAATAATAGAGATATTAACTCTAAAAAAGTATACTTTTATCTGAACTAGCAAAACTTAGCTAAGTAATGGAGAAATTATCCTCCGGCGTAATTAAGAGTGAGCCTCCATTTCAAAAGTTAAAATAGATTTATAACGGTATTTTTCAAACTGTTGTTTAGATAAAGATTTGAATTGAAGGTTACTTCAAATTACGCTGACAGTCCCTTTAAAACTAAAAAAAAGATGTGCTACCTTGTAGTTAAGTGGAAGGAGAGGGGAAGACTGAAACCAAGTGAAATGAAGAACATCAACATGACTTGGAAGTGGGATCACAAAACCAATGGCATACTGAAATATCAATTAATTAATCAATCAATCAATCAATCAATCAATCAATCAATCAATCAATCAATCAATCAATCAATCAATCAATCAATAAATCAATCATCAACCAACCAACCAACCAACATGACTTAGTATTTGGATCACAGAACCAATAGCATACTGAAACATGAATCATTCAATCAATATTTACTATTTAGTGCTTTAACGTATTCATCAATTGCCTAAAATCTACATGGCTTGGAAAGTTGACAGAAGGGTAATAATTGGCAGAAATCTATGAAATAATCAGTCAAATACTAAAAAAGATGGACGAAGGGATGAATAAATAAATAAAATAAAAATGAATCTGAAAACATTTATCACTCAAATAAAAAGGTAAGTGACTAAGAAATCTTTAGGCATAATCTTGTCAATTTAAAGGGATTGTACGCGTAATGTCAATAGTGGCATGTCCGAATAAAATCAATACCTTTAAAACTTTTATTTGATGAAGGATTTCGTAGAAATTCTTCAACAAATGAGGGTAACTACTTCGTCGTTGTCCGGACAAAGTTTTAAAGGGAACCGTTGTGAATTGGACATGCCTCTCTATAAATGGAAGCTCACCTAACAGTCCCTTTAAGTTCACCCTGTAAACCGAACCTCTGATCCACTCACCTGGTTTATATTACCCTCACGAATATAATAAAGTTCATTTTCCAGTCCTAGCAACCTCTTTACTTCTCCCTTAAAAACAAATATTAAAAATATAAAATAATAAGATCTGAACTTATGCTTCCCTCCAGAAAGTACTTATGTGGATCTTTTGTGGTAAAATCATACTAGATATCTCTAGTAATATTTTATAACAAATTCATGGATTACTTTTTTAATATTAATTTTTATTAAAAGTTTTCTAAAGAATTCAAAATTACTAATTAGCTCTATAACATTAAAAAGTTCTCACTATTCTCCTTGCGAGGAGATAACACTAGTTCTCACTGGTGCAGTTCCGTAAGTGTTGATTAAAAATAGATGGCTATATCCCCGCACAGAGAATAAGTTAAGCTCATTTATAACCAATTCAAATTAGTCCGACTCTGAATTAGAGAGAAATCAAATTACCTGGGAGAGAAAAAGGTTAAGGTTCGCATGAGTCGGCTGCAGCGCCCAGAGCAGAAATATCCAAAAAATCATTTCATTTTCTGAAGAAAACAAATAAAAAGTTTAATCAACACAAAAATCAGGTAGATAATTTTTTATTATTAATTTTCTTAAAATTCCATTATTTGGGGTTAATGCGTACGTACATGCCCAGTGTAAAACGTACAGCAGTATTATGTACGTTATAAATTGATTACATGTCGGAATAAAGGGGTTAAATATTCAGAAAAAAAAAATTAGATTAAATAGTGACAAACGTTTAAGTGTAATTAGTACGAAAGTACTTAAATGTTAAAATTGAGACTAATACAGTGAAGAAGTTAAATATTGTTGTAAGGCAATTATCGTTATATTCACACTGTAATAACAGGTTGTACGATTTTCCATTTAACTGTAACAATCAAATCTAAAAATTCCATTGGCGCATTTTTAAACTCTATATTGGTGCATTTTTACACTCTCAAATATTGGCGCGTTTGTTGCATCTCCTACCACGACATGTTTACGAACTATATTCTACTTCTATTTGTCACATATCCTTCTCGTCCTTGTACTTCTTCTTTTTCTTCTCCTTCTTCTTCTTCCGGCGTTCCTCACTCTCCTATATCAAACAATTAGTTTTCTTTTAATTTAAACGAGATAATCTTCATTATAACATATTTATCTTTTTTTATAACCAATCCAACCTCTCAAAGAACCTATCTAGGATCTCCAGGAGTATTTTCTTTGTTCCAGGTAGAAAACTGGATAAACTATCCTGATAAACAACCAACCTTATCATGTTTCTTATGTTTTCTCTCTCTCTTCCTATCCCTTTCTTCGTCCCTAAGCTCGTCCTGAGCTGGTGTTTCAGTTCCTCTTGATTTTCTTTTCTTAGTTCTCTTCTTCTCCTTTCCAGCAACATGGTTCAACACAGCCCTGTAGTACAAATAGGTAATACAGCATCTTTTTATGAGAGACAATTTTTTTATAGGTTGCATCATTTGGCCAAGCAAAAGGAGTTAAGGAGAAAATTGCACCAAAAGCGGTTTAAACTTATGGATTTTTTGGCCGTTAACTAACACATTTGGTAAAACATTTTCAAGGCCATTTCTAAATTGTCAAAATATTATTTTAAGTGCAGTGATGAGTTTGAAAAAAAAATTCAGATGGAGCTGACGAAACCTGTAAAAAAGACGGAGAATTTTTTACCTTTTTCTTAATATTTGACCATAAAAAAAACTAAAAATTTCTAAAAAATCTTTAAAATTTCGTCAAAACCAAGTTAAATGATTTCCAAAATGGTATGACATTTCAAAATCCTTAAAATTTGTCATAGTTAACCCAATTAAGCCGAAAATGATTTTAAGACCGAATTGGTTTTAAGACCGAATCGGTTTTAAAAAATACCAATAATAATGGGATATAATGGCTGGCTGGGGGCTGGCTAGTGGAATATAATGGGATATAATGGCTGGCTGGGGGCTGGCTAGTGG